GGGAGGAGGGGGGCTGTGTTGGGAGGAGGGGGGGCTGTGTGGGCGGGCGGGGGGCGAAAGGGGGGCTGTGTTGGGAGGAGGGGAGGCTGTGTGGGCGGGGGCCCAGAGCTCTGACTGGTGTCCCCTCTCCGGTCTCAGGCTGGGATGTCTCCTCCCTGAACTTGGCTGAGGCCATGAGACGGGCCAAGGTCCTCGACTGGCAGCTGCAGGAGCAGCTCTGGCCCCATATGGTGACGATGAAGCCCCGCCCGTCCATTTACATCCCAGGATTCGTTGCAGACAATCAGGAGGACCGAGCCGACCATGTCCTCCACGGGACGAAGGCTGAGCAGGTGGGTGGGGTGGGGGATCCCCATCTGCTACATTCCCACGGCTGCGGGGGTGAGCCCCGTGGCTGGGGTGGGGGAGCAGGAGGCCCCAATGCAGGCTTCTGGGCTGGCTTTGACGGGCTGCGGGAGCTGGGCCGGGATTTCGGAGCAGCCTCTGCCTGCAAGACCTGGGACATCGCGGCTCCCAAGGGCAGCCCTGGGCTGTGTGCCAGCATTGGGGAGGCTGGGCCCTGTGCTCCGCAGGGGGGTGCTGGGGGCGCAGTTCTGGCACCTACCCCCCAAGCACCATCCCTGCTGCCCACCGGAGCTGACCCACACTGGGCAGGATCCCTCAAATTGCAGGGGTCTGGGGGGCCCAGCAGCTTCCCTGCTGGTGCCCCGTCCTGGGCTTGTGCTGCCGAGCGCTGACAAGCCCCTCGTGCAGGTGGCACAGATCCGCAGGGACATCCAGGAGTTCAAGGCCACCAGCGGGGTGGACAAGGTCGTGGTCCTGTGGACGGCCAACACCGAGCGCTTCTGCGACGTGCTGCCGGGCGTCAACGACACGGGCGCCAACCTGCTGCAGGCCATCGAGGTGAGAGCCCGTGAGGGGCATGTGGCCTTCCCCCTCCCCTCCCCCCCCCCCGCCCGCCGGGGCTGGGCTAGTGGCGGCTGGTCTCGTCTCTGGTGCTCCAGATGCAGCCAGTCTGGGGGGCTGGTTCTGGCTCCTGCCAGGGGCGGGGGAACTGACTTTGCCCTTCAGTGGGGACACAGCAGTCCTAGAGCTGGGGGGGGGGAAGAGACTGGGGGAGCTGGGTTTGGGGGCAGTGGCCCCATTGCATGGGGGGGCTGGGTTGAATGGTGGGGATGTGGGGACAGAGCTGACAGTGGCGCCCTGTGATATATTTTCTCTGAGGGCCTGGTGCTCCTACTGGCTGTCTGGGGGTGGGGGCTGCCTGCGCACTGGGGGGGTGTGTGTGTGTGTCCTGGGGCTCCCCTCCCCCCCCCCCCCCGGGCGCTGCACTGAGCTCTCCCCATCTACTCAGCGAGGCCTCGAGGTGTCTCCCTCCACGCTCTTCGCCGTGGCCAGCATCCTGGAGGGCTGCGCCTACATCAACGGCTCCCCCCAGAACACCTTTGTGCCGGGCGCCGTGGAGCTCGCCCTGCAGCACCACGTCTTCATCTGCGGAGACGACTTCAAGTCTGGCCAGACCAAGCTCAAGTCGGTGCTGGTGGATTTCCTGATCAGCGCCGGCCTCAAGGTGAGGGGGTGCCGGGGGCGCCCGCCGCGGGGCATGCCGGGCTGGTGACGCCGCTGGGCTGCCGGGGGTCTAGGCAGGTTCCCCTCCTGGAGTCCAGGGGCTGAGTCCGGCACAGTCACCAGGGAGAGGGAATCTGGCCTCAGCAGAGCCCTTGGGTGGGGTGGGAGGGCTTGTAACCCTCCTGCAGCCGGGTGCATTCCAGCTCCCCAGGGGGAGGGGCTGCGGGTAGGGACTGAGGCGCATCTGCATAACCCCCAAGGGCTCTGGGGGCTGGAGCATCCCGGGAGTGGGGGCCAGTGGTGGTTCAGCTCGGCCCTTCCCCTTGGAATCCAGACAAACTCGTCCCATGGCATGGGTGGGGTGGGGGGGGTGCAGAGCCCCCTGCCCTGGCTGGGCCTCCCCGGCAGCCAGGTCTGGGAGGCGGGCAGGGAGACCAGGGCTCCCCCAGCTGCGGCTGTGATCTGTGGGGCTGCTGTGACCCATCTTTGCTCCCCCCTATCCCAGACAGTGTCCATCGTCAGCTACAACCACCTGGGCAACAACGATGGGAAGAACCTGTCGGCCCCGCAGCAGTTCCGCTCCAAGGAGGTCTCCAAGAGCAACGTGGTGGATGACATGGTGCAGTCGAACCCCCTGCTCTATGGGCCCCAGGAGAAGCCCGATCACTGTGTGAGTGCCGGGGGTGCGGGGAGTGAGGGAGCCCCCCGGAGTTGTACCTGGCTCTGTTGCGGACGGGGGGGGGGGGGACGGACAGAAGCTGCCCTGAACCCGCTGCCCGGCAGTGGCTCTGGTCTGGGGCCCAGTATTCAGGTGGCTCTCGGTTGCAGGTGGTGATTAAGTACGTGCCCTACGTGGGTGACAGCAAGCGGGCGCTGGACGAGTACACCTCGGAGATCATGATGGGCGGCACCAACACCATTGTCATACACAACACCTGCGAGGTAGGGCCGGGAATTCCTGTCCCTGGGCACAGGTCAAACCCCCCCTCCCTGCCCTGATGGTATCACAGGGAGAAACAGTGCCGGGGGGGGGGGAGCATTGGCCCCTCTGGCCCTGGGTTGTGCCTCCCTTGGGGAGAGGGAGCTGGGCCTTGCCCCCCCCCACTGACTCTGCCCCACCCCCAGGACTCCCTGCTGGCCAGCCCCATCATCCTGGACCTGGCCATCCTGACCGAGCTCTGCCAACGCATCAGCTTCTGCACCGAGAGCGACCCCGACTTCCAGGGCTTCCACAGCGTCCTGTCCATCCTGGGCTTCCTGTGCAAGGCGCCCCTGGTGCCAGAGGGCTCCCCTGTCGTCAACGCCCTCTTCCGGCAGAGAAGCTGCATCGAGAACATCCTGAGGTACCCCCGGCTCTCTCCTCCCCCCCGCCCCCCCACTCCTGGGGTGCCAGCTCTATCCCCGTCTCCAGCTCCCCACTCTCCTCCATGCCTGGGGTGCCCGCTCCCTTCGCCAAGCCAAGTGCCCAGGCCCCTTCGGGAGCAGCCTGGGCCCTTGACTGAACCTGGCAGGGGTGGGGCGAGTTGCATTAGCCCCTGTGGGACCTGGTGGTGCCTAGTCTGTGGGGTGTCCAGCTGGCTGCAAAGGCCTCTGCCCCCTCCCCCCTGACATGCTGCTCTCTCTCTGATCCTGCCCGCAGGGCCTGTGTGGGGCTGCCCCCCCAGAACCACATGCTGCTGGAGCACAAGATGCAGCGGCCGTGTCCGAGTCTGAAGCGAGTGCGTCTGGCAGAGTGCCCAGTCTCCCTCAAGAGGGCAGCTGCCCACGTGAACGGCTACCTGTGCCCAGGCAGTAATGGGCATGGCACTTCGCAAGCCTAGCTGCACATTGACAACTAGGGCCCTGCCCCATGGCCACAACGCCCCCCAGCTCCCAGGGGAGTCTGGGCTGAGACATGGGGGGCCAGAACTGCCGCTGCTGGAGAGGGGCCATGGTCAGCCTGAAGGGGGACAGGAGCCGTGGTCCATCCGGGGACTGTATTTTGTAGGGGGATTCTTAGTTTGAATTAATTTGGGGGCACAGGAGGACCCCCCCTCCCCCAGCCACCCAGGCCCCCCCCCTCCCCCTCCCCCCTCCCCCAGCCACCCAGGCCCCACTGCTAGTAACTGGAAGCTGGGAATGTTTGTTTTTTTTAAATAAAAAGTGGGAGCATGTCTGTCTCTGTTGATCCCTCTGCGTCATGTCTCTACCTGGCGCCCTGCCCTCTTCCCTGGGAAGCGGTGCCCAGAGACAGCGGTGTTCCTGTGAAAGGGGTCTCCCTGGGGTGCGCCCCACAAGCCCTGCCCTGCACTGTGTGGCCTGGGGCTTTACCCAGCTCCAGCGGGTGTGGAACAGCTGGGGAAACCAAGGCAAAGACCCAAGTCTCTGCCCCAAGCCCCTTCCTGTGGTGGGGGCCCAGTGATTGGGGGGGGGGGTCCGGGCTCCGTGAGTGCTGGGCCACCACAGGGCAGTGGGATTCATGGCTCCGGCAGGAGGGTGCTCATGTGTTCAGCCTGGCACCCCGCCAGTGGTGCACTGGTCCCTGGGGGGTGCTGTGGAAGGGGTCCTGGGGAGCGGTAAAGGGGGAGACAAAGGAGGCGGAGCTATGAAAAAAATCAAATTACATTTATTGATGCAGGTTTTTGGGGTGGTTTTTTTTTTTTTCTTTTCTTGTTTTTGTTGGGTTTTTTTTGTTTTGTTTCGTTTGTGTTTTTTTTTCCTTTTTCTTTTTTTGATAAGCAACTTTCAGTCTAAAGCCTTCAGAGTAGAAAGAACAGACGAAATCCCTACACAGACGCACTAACCTAGCAGGGGAGGCGCTGCCCCCGGCAGCAACACACCAGCGGGCTGCGTCCCCTCCCAGCCGGCGGCGGGCACAGCACACGCGTGGGGCAGGCGGAGGCTCACCCCGAACAGCAATAGAAAACCCAGCTCCGTCCCCCTTGCCCGGGCGGGGGTGGCTTTGGGCTGAGAGCTGGAGGGAGCGTGGCCGCGCTGCTGCTGAGGTCCTTCATGTTTATAAAAGGGGGGGGGAGAGAGAATCCTTCATATGAAAGTTAAAAGTGGTCCCCATGGCGGGCAGGGGCAGGCGCCTGGGGCAAAGGGGGCTGCTGGGGGGGCCTATGTACACTTGCCCCCCTTTGCTGCAGGGCAGGGGCCGAGCCCAGTCTGTCCATGGGGGACTGGCTGGGGGGAATCACAGTGGCTGAGCAAACAGAGTGGGGTGGGGGGGTCCCCTATTCCCTAGAGACTCCATGGGGTGTTTCCGGCTGTGGAAGGGTTGGGGGGCAGAGCACTGGGGGCAGCAGAGCGCAATCACCTGGGGGGCGCAATTCCCCCCGCCATGGGGGTGCTCACAGGAAGGGGGGGGCTCCTGGGCAGCAGGAGGGGGCTGAGGCAGCTCTGCTTAGCTGGCAGCCGGGGGGGGGGGGGAGGGCTCTGCCCGGCCTCCCCAGTGCCCCCAGGGGCAGGGGCTGGGGCCTGAGGAGCAGTGGCTTGCAGGGCAGCATGGGCAGAAAGGGGGGGGCACCCCTGACCGAGGGTATTTGTGGAGGAGCAGCTGATGGAATTGGCATAACTACACTGGGGCGGGGGGCTGCAGGGTCTGTCCTATGGCTCCACGGCAGGCTCTGGTGCAGCCGGGGCCCCTGGAGGGGGGGGGATCCCTGGAAGCTGGGGGAGGGGGAGGGGAAGCCCATGATAAGTTAAACCCTGTACAGCAAAACAAACCCTTAAATAAATACCCCCCTCCCCCACCCTGCTGTGTGGGGCTGGGCAGAGCTGGGGGCAGGGCTGCCAGCCGTAGCCTGTAACCCCAGAGAAGGGGGGCTCATCCCCAGCCTCACTCTGCCCCACTGCTGCTGCCTGGCAGGGAAGGAGCTGTCTGTGGCTGGACACACCCCCCCCGCTCCCCCCCCGCCGTGCTCTGGCTCCCAGCCCCCAAAAGGTGCTGCCTGACGCAGCCACAGCTCTGCCCCCCCCCCCCCCAACGCAGTACAGTCAGCAGGTTCCACCCTCCCACCATAGCACCCCCGCCTCTTGCCTGGCACAAGCAGCCCCCCCACCGTGTACCCCACAGCACCAGTCCAGCGGGGCCCAGGTCTGGCGGCTTGCTCCTCTGCCTGGCGCAGGGGGAGGGCAGGGCCAGGGCGTGGGGGGAGGGGGTGCTGTGTGCCAATAGAGTGCAGGGGGGGACTGTGCCCCAGGTGGAGGGGGAAACGGGGGGGTGCTGGCAGGAGGGCAGGCGGCCAGTGCCTGCGGGTGTTTTAAATAGAGTTTAGAACCGCGGGGGCGTCTGGCTCTCTGCGCCGGGACGTCCGAGCCGATCACACGCTCATTGTCATGCTGGGCGAGTACTAGAGAGACGGGAGACACCAGAGCATTAGCAGGCGGGGGGAGGCCGCCGGGGCCAGCCCGACGCGCTGGGGGAGCCAGCTGGCCCCTTTCGGCTGGGGCGGGGCAGCTCACACCTCGGGGAGGCTCCTCCAGCACACGGCCCCCACCACAGGTCCAGCCGTGCCAGGTTTGTTCTTCCCGGGGGTGGCCGATGCCTTGCAGCTGCCCCGCCCGCCCCGGGAGCCCCGCCCGCCCCGCCCTCTCCGCCGGCCCGGCGGGCCCGCCCAGTCCCTTACACTTTCGCTTTGGAAGGGGTTTAAGAAGGTGCCGCCCATCTCGCCGTCGTCCCGCGGAGTCCCGGGCGGGTTGCTCAGCCCCGCCATGTTACTCGGCGAGCTCTGCAGGGGCACAGGAAAGCCCAGGTTAGAGGGGGGCCTGCTGCCCCCCGGCCCCAGGAGAGAAAGGCCGACAGCTCCCAGCAGTGCTGCTGGCACCCGCCGCCTGGGAATGGGAGCGGGTTCGGCTCTGGCCTGCTGCCCTCAGTGCTGGGGGGGGAGGGCGGAGTCACCCCCAGTGCCCAGAGGAGACAGCAGGGCTGCACCCCAGCAGCTGGCAGCACCCTGGGAGGGGGCAGGGGGTGTCCCAGGGAGGGGTTCAGCCCAGGGGAACCCCCCATAGGGAGCGGGTGGAAGTGGGGCGCTGTGCTCTCACCTTTGGCAGCCCGTCCATGTCGCCAGAGCCTGGAAGGACAAGCAGGTCCTGTTAGCGCTGCCCCATACCAGGGAAAGGTGCCCCCCGACCCCCTGATCCACTAGACACGGACCCACCGCCCAGGGAGCCCAGGCCATGCTGCAGTGGCCGTCCTACACAGCGGCAGGGCTCCGGCCCTCACCCCCAACATACGTAAGGCCCGCCTCTCTGCCTCAGTTTCCCCCTGCACCATCGGGGGAAGTGATGCTAGCGTGCTGCGGGGGGGGGGAGGTGCTGGCCCATAGGCCGCCTTCAGCTGGCAGCGCTAGGGGCTGAGTCCCCTCGGGGAGGCTGGGGCAGGTCTGAGCGCAGGGGCCAGAACCACAGAGCTCCCGGTCTGGCACAACCCTGCCCCGGCACACCAGGTATAGCGCCAAGGGATAGGAAGGGACCTGCCCACAATCACAGTCAGGGCAGAGCCAGGCCCAGAATCCAGGCAGGGGGGGCCGGGGCGTAGGCGTCCTGATGTCCCTCCACCCGTGTGGGCAGCTCACACCCCGGCGGGCGAGAGGCCGGGGCTACCCACCTAAGGATCCGTTCATGTGATGGGGCTCCATGGCGTTCATGCCTCCCATGGGCCCATCGGGGCCAGGCCCCATGGGGAACTGCAAGGGAAAGGGAGCGCGTCAGTGCCGGACACAGGCTGACCAGGCATAGTGGGGCCAGGGGGCTGGGGCTCTGTGTTCGAGCTGATGGGAGTGGAGGGGAACTCGGCGCAGGGCCTCAGGGATGTGCCCAGCATTGCTCTGGCCCCCAGTACCCCATGGGATTGCGAGGGACCAGGGATCAGGGCTGAGGGGCACCGGCAGAGGTGTGGGAAGGGGGAGCCCGGGGCCGGGCTGGCAGGGGTCCGTGGGTTGGGGGACACCGGCGGAGGTGTGGGAAGGGGGAGCCCGGGGCTGGGCTGCCAGGGGTCGGGGGGCACCGGCGGAGGTGTGGGAAGGGGGAGCCCGGGGCTGGGCTGGCAGGGGTCCGTGGGTCAGGGGACACCGGCAGAGGTGTGGGAAGGGGGAGCCCAGGGCTGAGATGGCAGGGGTCCGGGGTCGGGGGCACTGGCAGAGTTGTGGGAGTCGGCTGGAGGTTGTTCTCTGCGCCTGTGGCCGGGTCCCCAGCAGCACTCCTTGGCTGTGGGATGGGGCAAGGTCTGGGCTGCCCAGGGCTCTCCATGGGGGGGCACTGCTGGGGGGCACTCACGTTCGGCCGGTTCCCAGCGGGCCCGATAGGGTTCATCATGGTGTACATGGTCTCGCTGGAGTTGGTGGAGTCTGTGGGGTGCAGAGCGGGGTCAGTGCTGCCAGTCCCACAGAGCACGAGGGGGCGGGCACTGCGCAGCCACGCATGAGCTCACCGGCCCTGCAGCCCCCCCCCCGCCCCCGCCCCCCAGCGAGAGGCATAGACGTGTCCGCTGCTTTTCCCTTCCGGGCTGGGCAACGCCCCCCCACGCTCCCCCCCCCACCCCCGCGGATACTTCACCTCCTGGGCTGGGCATGATGGGGGTTCCGGGGGGGCCGCCGCCTCCTGGAGGGCCCTGCAGGAGAAGAGCAAAAGGCCCAGGAGCCGTTTGAACCTCGGTCCCAGGCAGAATCCCCCCAACCTCCCAGCGCCCGGCCGGCACAATCTGCCCCCAAGGTGCAGGGCCTGTGTGCTGGGGGCACTCAGCACGGGGCTGCGGGCCAGAGCACCTCCCTGCCCCCTTGCGGCTGCGGTACTCACCACGTAGCTCCCGGGTGACGAGGAGGAGTACGCGATCTGTGGAAGAACAAGAGGGGACGAGTCAGCACCGAGCGCATGGGGAGCGTCTCTGGCTGCGCACTCCCTGTGCATCGTGCCCGGCCCCGTGCCCCCACCCGTGCATCGTGCCCGGCCCCGTGCCCCCCCGTGCATTGTACCTGGTCATGCCCCCCTCCCCCCCTGTGCACCACACAGCCCCATGCCCGCCCCCCTCCTCCCCCCCAGGACTCACAGAGTTGGTGTTGGGGTTTGGCCACGGCGCTCGCCCTCCTGGGCCCCTGAAACACAAACAGGCCTGAGGTTGGCACTTCCCCAGGGTCCCTGTACACCCCCCCGCCCCCCCACTGCTGCGTGCGCCCTGTCCTGCGGGGGGCGCCCCTGCACTGGGGATGGGGCAGGGTGGCACGGGGAAGCTGGGACACTTGGATGATTTTGGGGGGGGGCACCCAGTTTTCTCACCAGCCATGGACTCCCCCAGACCGGCCCAGCCAGCCAGCCATCACCCCCTCCCCCGAAACCTGCCCACCTACCCCCAGATCTGTGTGTCTGTCCCGGGTATCTGACGGCGCTGGGACAGCCTGGACGCCTGCCAATTGCTCTGGCTCCGCTGGGCAGGGCGGGGGGGGCGCCAGGGGCCACTGCCAGGCGCGAGACTGCAGGCCCCAGACCATGGCCAGGAGCAGACGGGCGGCATGCGGCTCGGCTGGGAGCTCTGCCCAGTGCCTGGGAGCCCATCTGCAACGCCTGGCGCAGGGCATGGCCCCCAGTGGCCCAGGAGTCCCCGGCCCACCCTGCAGGCACTGGGCTGGCTCTGTGCCCCTCCCTGTGGGTTGTGGGGGACAGGGAGGTGTGGCTGGGGCACAGGGAGAGGAGAGGTGCCTTACATGTTCATGGTGGGCATGCCGGGGCCGCCCAGCGAGTTGGGTGGGGGCCGCATCCCGCTGCCATAGTTCTGCAAGAGAGGAGCAGGCGCGAGCTGAGCGTGTGGCGGGCGGAGACGGGCGCAACCTCTGAGGAGCTGCGTTAGCCCAGTCATACAGAACCCAGGAGTCCGGGCTCCAGCCCCTCCCCCCACACCCACTCCCCACCCAGAGCCAGAGAGAGAACCCAGGCGTCCTGGCTCCAGCCCCAACCCCCACAACCCACTCCCCTCCCAGAAGAGAGAACCCAGGAGTCCTGGCTCCAGCCCCAACCCCCACAACCCACTCCCCTCCCAGAAGAGAGAACCCAGGAGTCCTGGCTCCAGCCCCTCCCCCCACACCCACTCCCCTCCCAGAGCCAGAGAGAGAACTAGGAGTCCTGGCTCCAGCCCCAACCCTCACAACCCACTCCCCTCCCAGAATCAGAGAGAGAACCCAGGCATCCTGGCTCCCAGACCTGTGCCCATGCTGCCCCCATCTCCTCCCCTCCCCGCCGGGATGCTGCTGTGGGCCCACCAGCCGTTCCCAGCGGTCCCGGATCACAGCACGGCACAGCAGGGCTGGGCCAGGACCCCGCGGGGGTGCCAGATCAAAGGCACACCGGGAAACACCCACCTGAGGAGCCATCCCCGCCATGCCTCGCGGGGGGTTCATCCGCTGCATCGGGCCCCCCATATTCGGATGCCCTGTGCAAAGGGAGAGGAGAAGGTGAACAAGGCAGCAGGGCACAAGCTCCCCTAAACCCCAATTTCTGGGGCATGGCTCCCTGAACCCCACAAACCCCCACTCCCAGAGCTCTGTTCCCCCAACCTCCCTCAACCCCCCACTTCCGGGGCATGGCTCCCTGAACCCCCTATGCTCAGAGCTCTGATCCCCGACCTCCCTCAACCCCCCACTTCTGGGGCATGGCTCCCTGAACCCCCCAACCCCCCCATGCTCAGAGCTCTGCTTCTCCGACCTGCCACAACCCCACTTCCAGGGCATGGCTCCCTGCCCCCCCCCCCACTCCCATGGGGCTCTGCTCCCCCCAGGGAGCTCTCAGCACTGAGAGGGGACTCCCAATGAGGGGTCATAATCCCAAAGTGCCCTCCCAGCGCAAGGCCTCATCCTTCCCCACAGAGATGGGGGGGGGGGCTGCTCCTGGGCTAGGCTGTGAGGGGCTTCTCCTCCCCTCCTGGGGGCTCCTGTCTCTTCGCAGTGAAGGGTCCCCTCTTGGGGGAGGGGCTGCTCCCAGCTGGGGCCCTTGTCTCCTCCCTGGCGGCTGACCCACTCATGTCCCGCTGGTGCCCCAGAGCTGGGGGCCGACAGGGCTTGAGGTGGCTAGGGAGAGGGGGGAGCAGACCAGAGATCCCGTGGCGGGGAGGGGCCACGCGGGTGGCATGACTCACCCTGCGATCTCGTGCTGGGGTCCATGGTGTTGGGCAGCAGCGGCTGGGAACCCGGGACCCCCACAGGCGGCTGCGGGAATAGAAGGGCCGTGAGCCTGGAGCTGCAGCCATCAGGAGGGAAAGGCATGGACCGGGCTCCCCCAGGGAAGGAGCACCCCCACCTCCCAGGGAAATGGCACAGACCGACACCCCCCCCCACTCCACCCCGGGGAAGGAGCACAGACTGACCCCCTCACTCCACCCCGGGGAAGGAGCACAGACCGACCCCCTCCCTCCACCCCGGGGAAGGAGCACAGACCGACCCCCTCCCTCCACCCTGGGGAAGGAGCACAGACCGCCCCCCCCCACTCCACCCTGGGGAAGGAGCACAGACTGACCCCCTCCCTCCACCCCGGGGAAGGAGCAGAGACCGACACCACCTCCCCCCTCCACCCCGGGGAAGGAGCACTGACCGACCCCCTCCCTCCACCCTGGGGAAGGAGACTGACTGACCCCCCTCACTCCACCCTGGGGAAGGAGCACAGACCGACACCACCTCCCCCCTCCACCCCGGGGAAGGAGCACTGACCGACCCCCTCCCTCCACCCTGGGGAAGGAGCACAGACCGACACCACCTCCCCCCTCCACCCTGGGAAGGAGCACAGACCGACCCCACACACACACTCCACCCTGGGGAAGGAGACTGACTGAGGCCCCCCCCATACCTAGGGCTCCACTCCCTGACCCACTGCCTGAAGAGACTGGGTAGGGAGCTGGCCTGGACATGGGGCGACCCGCCCTGGGAGGGCCCCAGCTCTCAGGCCCCCAGGGCGTCTCACCTGGTTTGGCATGCGGAGCGAAGGCCGGGGGCCGCCAGGGTAGCGAGGGGACATGAAAGGCTGCAAGAGACAGAGCAGGGGGGCAGGTGAGAGCACATCCCCAGAGCCCTGCCAGGGCGGGGCACGAGAACGGAGCCCCCGGGGCCGGGGCCGGGGCAGGGCGGCCTGAGCTGGGAGCTTGCCCACTACTCAGAGGGGTCTAACGGCAGGCAGTGATGCGTGGCCCGGCTAGAGGCTGCAAGGCAGGAACCCAGGCGTCCAGGCCCAGCCAGACCGGATGCACCCAGCATTCCCCGTCCCGCAGCCCTGGGTAAGCGAGAGGCTTGGTGCCCGCAGGGGACGGGGCAGAGGTAGGGTCTTACTGCACCCCTCAGCTCCTCACCCGAGGGGGCTCTCAGCACTTTGCCGGGGGGCCCCGTATCACTAGCAGTGTTCCATTTGGCAATGGGGAAACTGAGGCAGTGACTTGCCCAAGGTCACCCAGCCGACCAATGGCAGGTTTCCCAAGGGCCCGGCCTGTGCCTCCCGCCCGGAGCCGTCTGGCCTCGTTGTGGGACTGCTGTTCCTGACGTCGCTGCGTTGACACAATGGACACAAGCGGGTTTGCCCTGAAGCTGGTGTTACGGCTGCTGTCCTGGCCTCTCTGCTTCTGCCCCCGGGGTTTGCATTTCAGCGGCGCTCCCAGGCTTGCTCGGAGGCGTCTCCCAGCAGCAGACCCCCAGGCACTGGGCAGAACCTACGTGATAGGCCTGGGAGCTGCCCGCGCTGTCATGGCCTCACAGAGGCCCATGCACCCAGGCTGGCACCCACCAGCCAGCCCCCCAGCTGTCCCGCAGGGACTGTCCCTTCACCCCCCCAGGGCAGGACTCTCCCCAGTCCCCGTGAAGCAGAGCCCAGGGGGGCCGGAGGGACCCAGCGCCTCTGGAGTGGATGGATCCTAAGGGCTGAGGCGTCCTGTTCCCTGAGTGAGAGCTGGGCTCCCCCACAGTGGTGCCCAGGCAAGCCCCTGCCCTGCTGCCCCCCAATTTACCCCATTGGTCCCTCCCAGCTGCAAGGGTCTCCCCACATCACTCGCCCCCAGCCCCTCCCTCACAGCGACGGACACCCGGATCGTGCAAGGGCCAGGGGCCTTGTGTTGTGCACAGACGCTGGCACTGGCTTCGGTGGGGCCTGGGGGCTGCATGGCCCAGCCCTTCTGCACGGCTGCCCCCCATCCCAGGCCCCAGCCTTGCTCCCTGCAGTCAGGCCTGGCTGGGGCAGGTGTCAGCGTGTGAAGGGGCGGGGGGGGGGGGGGCTGAGGGTCCCTGGAGGCCCCTGTCTCCCAGCTGGGGGATGGAGGGTGCCAGGGCAAAGCAGATGATCTGGGGCCTGCTCTGACCCGCTGCGCAGTTCCCACTGGGAGGAGCGGGGTGGGCCGGGCAGCTGCCTGGGGCAGGGCACATGGGAAGCGGAGCTCACTCCCTGCCTGTCCTGGGGGGCTGAGCTGAGCCCGCGCTCGGGGGCGGGGGGAGGGGCCTGAAAATGGGAATCTGCCGGGCACTGGGCACAGCACTGGGCTGTGTGGGGCTGCGTGGAGCGGGGTGCAGACGGGGGGCTGGGGTACACCTGGGGATTTCCACGGGTCTGTGGCAACGTCCGCCCAGCCGCCAGGCCGCAGGAGCCCCCAGAGCCTCAGGTGAGCAACCCCACGCAGAGTGGGTGAGTATGCAGGAAGCGGGGGGCAGAGTGGCTTGTGGGGGGGATGCGCACACTGGGGTTGGCAGGCTTCTTCCCCAGGCCCAGCCTATTGGGGGGCGGTGGGCCGGCTCGCCCCAGACGGCCTTACCTGGCTGTGGGGCCCCAGCATGGGGGCGGCAGGGTTGTGGGGCGGAGGCTGTGCGTGCGGTGATGGCTGAGAGCCCGGAGGTCCCTTCAAGAGAAACAAACCACAGAGCGTTACAAGAAGGAGGGGCTGGGCTGAGCCCCCGTCACCCGCTGCCCAGGGCCCCTGGCCTGCTCCTAGGCCCTGCTGGTGGGTCCCACTCCCTGGGGACTGCCAACCAGAGACCCCCCACAGTGTACCTGAGCTCCCCGCTCACCTCGGCCTGGCTGCTGCCCTGAGCCGTCCATGCTGAGCCACGGCCATCGCCCCGGGTGGGGGGGACATGCCGGGGGAAGGGGGGTCTGGAACATGTGGGGTGCCTGGCATGTGGGGGGCAGCCCAGGACCTGGGCACTGGGAGTGGGTGTCTCCAGCTGCCGTCGGAGACGCTGGTGCCCCAGCGCTGTGGAGCGGGGCAGAGGTGAGGGGAAGCCCCAAGCACCAGACAGCTGGATGGCCTCAAGCCGGTCCCCACGTCCACCTGCAGGTGGCAGCACCCCCCCCCGCCCCGCTCCACAAATGGGGGCTCTGCACACCGGGCGTGGCTGGGCAGGGGCAGCCGCGGAGCAGCACTCAAGGGGGGGCCGCTCGTCCCCAGGCGTGAGGGGCAGGAGAAAAGCTCGACCTGGCAGGGCTGAATATTGGCAGCGCCAGGCGACTCCTGGGGCTGTGGGCACCCGTCTGTGTTCCCAGGAGACTGTCCCTGCAGGGGAAGGTGCGGTCACCCCAGGTCCCCTACAATGCTGCCCTGCCATGGGGAGGCGAGGAGCCACAGACTGCCCTCGGATACTGCCTGGCACAGACTCAAGGCGGAGTCAGTGCCCAGCCGGAGCAGGCCAGGGGTTCGTGCACGGGCAGCGTGGCACGGGCTGCACAGTGGCTCCGCTACCCTGGCCCTTAGAGCCTCTCCCGCCCCCGCCCGTCTACCCGAAGTCCCCAGCATGTCGCCGACAGCCAGCGCATCGGTGCTGTGCCCGCAGCCACGGAGATGCAGAGGGGCCCATGTCCCACCCCTGGGCGCTGCGACCCGGCTCTGAGCACAAGGCAGGCGCAGGAGGGATCAGGCTCCCGTCTCCTCCTCGGGGCGGCGGTGCTGGGACTGGCATGAGGCCGCGGCGGAGCCAGCGAGCCCATCCCCGCACGGCAGTGCCGCTGGCCCGTATTTAACACTCAGCCTCCCAGGGCTCCCGGCCTAATGGGGACCATATGGCATCGGCAGCGCGGCAATACTGAGCCGGCTCCCGCTGGGCGGGCTCAGCCAATCCGGACGTGGGCGCCGCGCGGGGCTAAACGATGCAATTAATAAAATCATTTTCTATCCAGCTAAGGAGATAACGACTTGGCACAGCAGTGCCTCCCGTTCAGCACCGGCAGTGCCCTGGCAGGCCGGCAGGGGACGGCCAAGGAGGCACGTGGCTGGCTCGACACTAGGGGGCAGCATCTCCCCACACATCCCTTCCCGTCCACCCCACCACGGCTCTCAGCTGCGCAGCGAAGCCACTTGGGCCCCAAGGGTCTGAGCCCAGAGCAGAGCAGCTGCCAACGCCGACGCCCGCAGCAATGCCCACACCCCAATCCCTGGCTGCACCTGCACCACTCCGTGCAACCCCCCTCGTGCACACACCGATCCTGTGTGCCCCCCCGTGCACATGCACACCTGCACACACACCCTCCCCATGCACACACACTCCTGCACACACCCCACCCCTGTCGTGCACACACCGACCCTGTGCACCCCCCCGTCGTGCACACACACTCCTGCACACACACCCTCCCCATGTCGTGCACACACCGACCCTGTGCACCCCCCCGTCGTGCACACACACTCCTGCACACACACCCTCCCCATGTCGTGCAC